TCCTTGATTGAGCTCAGTCGAACCGTTTTTCCTTGGTCTATCTTTTTTGGTCAAAAGTACTCCTTTTTCGAACTCCGTCGAAATGTTTTTTCTCGGTCTAATATTTTTGGTCGAAAATAATTCTGGGTCGAACTCGGTCGAATTGTTTTTCTTCGGTGGGAAATACCACTTGGCTGAACTCGGTTAAACCGTTTTTCCTCGGTAGATTATGTTCGAAATTGTTTCCCCGCGTTCCATTTTCTTTTGGTCGAAATAAACTGCTTTTCTTCAATCGGAAGGTTTGAACATAATTGAATCATAGTCAAAACTTTTCAAGCTTGGATCGAGGTGGTCCAAATATGCCAATTTTTGGTCGAGTCGGTCAAAACGTAAATCGCAGACGTCGACCCGGGTACCGAAATACTATTAGAGTTCCATTTTTTCCTATCTTTATCAAAGAGGTAAATTTATGTCTCTTTTTCAGGTCCTGGGCGTGGTGTTGCTGTCTGTGCAGCTGTACGTGTTTATTAGATGGAACTTCGCTGAAATAGTGGAGGTAAGAAACAGAAAAAATATAACTAATAACTAACTTCACAGTGTAACTAAACTTCGCAACTCTGGGCGAGGTGATCATGCGAATATCTCTGCAATGATGATAACTAGAACTTGAGGGTCGCATTTTTGAATCCAGAGAGGCGGAGCCATAAGCAAATATTTTGTAGCTACGTGCCCAGCTAAACCTGGAGTTAACTGTTTGATATTTTCTAGAATCTTTAACTGATGCGGGATGACATCCGTAATTTTCAAAATTTCAAAACGTTTTTTAACCAAAAAGTTCAGTTGTTACTCCATTAAAACAAGAGATTAACCGCTTATATAGGAGAGATACATATTAAATCTAGTATCCGTTCTTTCAAATGAAAAGAAATTTGGCTGGGGAGATGATTTTTCTCACAACCTGTTCTTTTGAATCAACCAGTAACCTGATTTTTCGAGTGAACGCTAAATCTCAGTATTGCCAGGATATTTTTCTAGAAGAGTGAAATTATTGGCTAAAACTGGGAAAGCGCTGAAAAGTTCAGATATTGGAAATTTCCCTGGGACTTAAGACAAAGTTTGAAGATTCGCCGCTTCTACAGGAAAAATAGTTGCAACCGGTCCCTTAGATTGAATAATTAATCTCTCGGATATCTTCTAAGAAAAGTCAACAAATTCGAAAAAACGGTCACATAAAACATGAAACTTGACTTTTCTGATGGCTATAATTTTATTCTACAGAGAATAGGGAGTAACGGCTTGCAGCAAGAAAACCTCAACTTGTTATTTCGAATGAACTAGTAATCTGATAACTGACACAATAGTTTTCGGGAAAAGTCATAAAATTTCCAAAAAAGAGGTTTCCATGTCTTTACTTGTTTTTTATTGAACCCAAAATCTCATAGTTTGGTAGTTTTTAGTTTTTTACAAAAAAAATCTGAAAACACGAATCAAACACTCCTCCACCGATTTATTCGAAAGATGTAGAAAGTGGGTACAGTAAAAAGTGAATAATGGATTACGCAGGCTCACAGGAAAGTGGGCGGTCATTTCAGTGATACAAATTTTTTTTACAAACCGGTGAAACCGTTTTTTCTTCGAAAACTAAAAATTTGGAGAAAAGAGAAAACACTTTTCAAAGCGTTTCAAAAGAATTGAAAAAATACTAAATTCCATACCTAAATTTCATACCAAATTCCATACCAGAATTGAAAAAAAAACTAAATTCCATCCAAGTTGCTTTCATCAAAAAATTCTTTTTTCATTAGATTCTGCTTGGAAAACTTGACTGAAATACACGGAACTTTGATTAAAAGAGTCAATGCGTCTAAGTGAAAAACTTAGGATCTTAGCTCCCTCCTTCCTCAAAATTTTTTTCGTGCAGTTATTAAAGTTATTGTTTCTAATTCATGTAATTTAAAAATCTTGAATTCAAATTGAAAATTTGCGGAACAAATTTGCGGAGGAAGAAACAGGATGCTAAACTTTCAACTTAAAATTTGAATCTCAAAATCGATCTTCAGTGGATTTCAGTCCTGTTTTTCGAGAAGAATAATAAAATTACAAACATTTGAATAATATACAACTACTGAGAAAAAATTATTAGTTATAACATATTTTCATTTCGTGGCTGTACCACTGCTGAAAATCAGAATGCGAGCCAAGAAAAAAATTAAACTTTTTCGCAAGTATCTTGATTATAGGTTCATCGGTTTTTCACTAATGCAGTAATGTAGCACTAATGCCCACTAGAAATTCTGAATTTCTGAAGGAACTGAAACAGTCGATGAACCCATATTCAAGTTATGTTACCTATTCTTATTTCTTCTAAACTACAAAACAATGAGTTCAATTTTCTTGCTCAGTCACATTTTAATTACTTTCATTAATTAAGAAACATTTAGATGAAGGAAGAGTCCCTGGGTCGTGGTGCTCACTTTATATTTCGACCATCTCGATCAAAAATCGGTATATTTTGACCGTGCTCGACCGAAATTCGATAAGTTTCGATCGTGCTCGACCAAAAAAAAACGTGCTCGAGGCAAGCAAGATATCTTTCGACCAAGCTCGACCAAATTTGGGCATGTTTTGACTTTCAAACAACATGAGTTATCCTGAAACGTAATAAATTATGCTTTTCGGGGATGATCTTTTAATGCTTTTCTATCAGAATGAAAAGATTAGATTTTTAGGCGATTTAAATTCTTTGTAGATATGAACTATTTTTGAGTTATTTTTTTCCATCTTTTGGAAGACTGGTTTGCCATCTGTTTCGATAATATTTGAAAAAATATGTTGATATTTGAAAAAAAATTACCTTCTGACTCCGAATTACAGAGGAACAATAGATATGTTTCGACTGTGAGGTATGTTTATACCGTGCTCGATTGTGCTCGAGGTATGTTTCGACCGTGCTCGAAGTATGTTTCGACCGCGCTCAAAATATGTTTCGACTGTGCTCCAGTTATGCTTTGACTGTGCTCGAGGTAAGTTTCGACCGTGCTCAAGGTATGTTTTGACCGTGCTCGAGGCATGTTTCGACCGTGCTCGACTGTGCTCGACAGTTCTCGATTGTGCGCAACCATGCTCGAGGTATATTTTGAATTTTTGCTCGACACAAACCCCTGTTTTGACTATTATTATCGGTCGAGCACTGAAATGTGCTCGAACTTGGAAGTTTAAATATAAAGTGAGCACCTCGACCCGGTTCAACACTTTCAACTTTCATTGAATAGTTTTCGTGTTTCAAAGTTTAAACACCATGTACTGCTAGCGACATTTTCAGGATCAAGGTAACTACCCCACCTCACTTTGCATGGGGGAGGATTCGTTTCAAGGTACAAAATTTGTATATCCTGAACCGTTCAATTTTTTCTTTTAAGACGAGAAATTGTATATACATCTCGCTATAGCCTTTCGACTGTCTTTCCAACTTTTCAAACCACATTTTTTCCAAAATGCAAAATTTTGGAACTGTAAATTAAGTTTTCTTAAGATAGTGAAAATTAAATATAGTATTTGAAACTGTTCACTAACTTGGGTATCTAAATAATTAAATAATTACCAGAAAAAAAAACGAAGAATGTTTTAGAGTCAGTGGTTATAACAGTTTCTGTGCAGTTTAGCCACATTAGCTAGTTAGAACCAAACACGTGTAAAATTAAAAAGTTATTACTAAATACCGGGTTGATCTCTTATCATTTAGTTTTGCGAAAAATAATTGCTTATTATACGATTCCTACCTTGAGTGTATAGAAAAAAATAGTTGTCATAGAAACTTTGAAACATTTTCTATATGGCTAGAAAAACGTTCGAATTGAAAAATCCAAAATTCAGCGTACATTTTTTTCTGTATTATTGCAAAAGCATCTCCATGCTCAAACAAACAATTTCCGAATCAACAACTTGCATACAAAATGTTGTGCATTTTTCTCCAGATTGAGTTTCTCGTAGAAATGATCAAAAGTGACTGAACCGAAATTTTTATTGTCAACGTTTCATATGACAAAATTAATTTTATTCTGTGAAACAAAGAAAGCCACGAAACTCAAACACCAAGGTTTTTTAGAGTAAAGTTTTCTATCCAAATACAAAAGGTTATGTTTACATATATATTTTGGGTAAAATTTTTTAGTATAACTTTATTGCAAGTCTTCCAAGGCAGCTCACATGATTTTTGCCCTAAAATATTATTGTGTTTATAAAATTAAAACTCTTGTAATTGGGTTTTTTGACAAAACATAAAAATCAAAGCGAAACTCGATTTTTTATGGAAATAAACTTAACATACAATTTTCATTTAAAAAGTGGTAATCATGTATTTCCCATACATGAAAAAATTCTTATTGTAAAATTATCACATATTTTCCGTGCGTACTTTTTTCTTAATGTAATAACCCGTATGACAAGCTTCAACCGGGGTGCTTTAAAAAAATGAGTTTTTTCAAACTATAAAATATTTTTCAAAGCACTGAAACTGCTTACATTTTCAGTTTTTATGACTTTTCAAAAAGCACACCTTTTGTTAGTGCTTCATTTTTTAACTACTGCAATTAAATGCAATAAAAATTACTAAATATTAAATGACAAGTTTTTTTAAAAAAAAAGTGAATGTTAAACAAAAAAAACTGGCTCACCAGGCTGTACGACGCCAGGATGAAGTACGCCTGGATAGCAACAAAAGAAGCATAGTCAACAGAACAATGAATCCCCTCATAGCTAATTTTTAACCAGCAAGATCGCTCAATATTTCAAAACATAACAAGAAAGCGGAATTTACAAAAAAAAAAAACGATAACAGAAAATCTAAAGAAATATAGTTTTTTTTTTAAATAAAATTTTTTGTGAAAACAGTACTCCTAACCCGTGCTTCAAACCAGCTATTGTTTTGATAATACCTGATACCGCAAAAGTGCAAGCTTTGTTATCAATCTGCCATTATTTAAAAAACAATCAATAATTTTCTCTCCCTTTTTTCTGTGCAGGTAGTGAGTGGAACTGGATCCATTGCCATCGCCCTCTACATCACTCTGGGTCTCTCCTGTGCACTCGTTCTATTCAGTATTGTAGGCCTGTGTGGTGTCTGCAGACGAAGCTTCGGCTGCCTTTCCACCGTTAGATCAAACTTGATATTCTAATATTATCTTCTAAATTTTATAAAACTGGTGTTTGAGCTCGTCGAACTTAAGAATAATGAAAAAAAAAAATAAAACAAAAAATAAAAAGATCGTCATAATAAAAAAAACTTCGAAACTTAGTGATTCGATTCTACAGATTTGAGATACTAAAGTTAAATTTTTCTTCATCAACGTCTTTTTTTTTCTGCGCAACAAAAATGATTAATTGAGCTCTGCCAAAACAATAAGAAGAACCCTATTTCGTCAAACTTTTTAGAACGGAAGGCAATCTATTCTTCTGCGTCTATTTTTGTTACTACTGACTACTTTGTAGTAAAAAAAAATTGAGCTGCACCAAATTTGCGTTTTTTTAGAAACATTCACAGTAACATACATTTTTTAAGCTTCGAAAGTCAATTTGATTTTCTCAGCAAAATGATTAAACTGAATAATATGATAACAGCTTACTTTGCTTTATACTTGTACAACTGTACAACAATCGGCTTTTAGTTTTAATTTAAATTATTAATCTTTAGTTCGCCCTATTCCTCGGGTTGTCCATTGTGCTTCTGGTAGCACTGGTTGGCTGTTTCTTCGCCTATAGAGATGTCGTTGACGAGCATGGCAAAACTGAGATGATGGACTCCATGATCAACTACTACCAAGGTCAGTAGAGTTTACTCGTTTCTTTTTTCTATGGTGTGAAAGGAGTCGTAGCATGACGACTCGCAACAAACGACAACTCGCAAACAGACAACTCGTATGACGTAGCAATTAGCAATTACGAAAATACAAAAAGTCCGCTAACTCGCAACACACTTGGAATCTCCCAATTATCCCTGGCACTAACTGAATTCAAAATATTTGATATGTGAAGATCAGGGTCTTTTTGTTCAGTTAAAACCGAAAATTGAGTTCGAAACCTCAATTGAATCATTTCAAGAATCGCTCTCAATTATAACCATTGTTCTTTTAAATTGAACCATTTAAAACCTGATCTTTAAATCTGAAAAAAATGATAAAGTTTGAATTGATAAAAAGTGCAGGATAACAATTTGGATATGCTCAAAAAGATCTTGCAGATCGCATGGGAAAGTTTGTTTGAGGAGAAACTTAGAATAATTTATAATCAATTTTGATTCAAGAACAAGTAGTTTAAACGTAACTTTTCTGCACGTATCTTGATTTTTTTTATTAAATTTCCTATTTCAATTTTCAAAAATTATGTTTAAAAAGATAAAGACTGTTAACTATTTTGTCCAAAAAGTTTTATTTTTATAAGAAAAATAAAGCAAAGAGCACAAAACACGCAAGATTATTCGCGGTCTAGTTATTATAAGCAATCGAGCATCGTGTCTAAAAGGTGGGTTGCAAACATGTCTAATTTGATGCAGGATTTTAGAGCGATTCAATATGAAGATGCTATAAAGCGGTGCCTTGGGGGACATCGCATTTCTCTTGGATTTTCAGTCAAATCTAAAGGGTTGAGTTTTATGACTAATGACCTCGTGTTATGCTTTTGCCTCCTTTGAAGGTTGACCTTCATCAATTTAATGAGTTCAAATCCATGCTGTTATGAATAACAGCGTACTTCCAGTGATACATTTTTAAAAATATAATCCAAAAAATCAACAGCGAACCCAACAGGCATTTTGCCTTCCACCTGAATTTAAACCACTACTAGAGCCTTCAGAAGTTGCAACTGGTTTCGAGAAAGATTTTTTTCTGGCTCCAATATAGAGTTTCTCACAACGTCTGTAAAAGAGAGTTCTTCCACATTTTGCTTAGGCACATTCGCAAAAAAAAAACATCTTGGAATCAAACTTGGTGTTTAAACTCAGGTCGGAGAAGAAGTAACGAAAGAAACCGTTCATTTAACAGGCTCTCGTTTCAGGGAGCGTATTGAGGCTGGCACTAGAAGCTTGAACGCCACAACTACTGAGACTGTGCAGCTCAAGCTATATCTCAAATATGTGTGCTTTTGGTTCGACCAAAACTGTTTATCACATTTTTTCATGTTTTTAAAATCGTTTTTTAAAATTTTTTATACAATTTAATACCTATAGAAGAATGCAAAACTTTTTTTTGCAAACATTTTTCCATATACGGATATTTTATTTTTTGCAGAGCTAAAAAAACTCACAAGTAGCATTTTCCGTGAACAGAAAATCGAGTTTTTCGTAATTCGTTAGTGTTCTGTCTGCAAGCACAGTAACCACAGCGCAAAGGTTATCTCATAATAAAAAGCTCATGTGCAGTTTGATGGCATGAGTTGCACAGATAAACGGCATTTGAAGAATCACCAAGGAATTGTTGTTTTGACTTGACAAGGACAAAAAACTTATTCGTTCCTATATGGCAATCTTCTTTTAAAATAATTGTAGTATTTAAAAACTGTGACCTGTAATCTGATAGTCTTACATATAATCAAGCATATAACAACAAAAAAATGAAACTGCGTTCTACCCAAGATCCAAAATTAAAAAGGTCGTTTTTTTTGGGAATAATTTCAGTTGGGTCTACAGTAAAGACAATTAGTTGCATCTTTGTGCTCGTTTTTTTCCATAAAGCTTTGTTCAAGCTCAAAAAAAATCAGAATTTGCCACTTGAAAAAAGCGAACCTAGATTTTTGAATTTTTTAATAATCAAGTTATGTATGTAGTCGAATTTTTACATTTTTCATGTAAAAAAATTAATGAAAACGGACTTTACTAAAAACTTCATACGTGGAGCGTGTGATTGCTTGAAATATGTGGAGCGTGTGATTGCTTGAAAGCAACTCAGCTAGATGTATTGTTTAATTGCACAAACTTTTGCTGCACAACTTACTAGAACACAAGATTTTTGCTCAAATGTATGGGCAAAGACGATAAACAACTTATTAAAGGTTTTTTAACGCTACTTTTTAGACTTTCTTCGTTTTTTATTCTTTTTTTTCATGGGTCGTTTTCCGCATATTTACAGTCGGTATATTATGCAGATTATGTTTTTTCTTTCTTTCTTTATATATATAGAATAGTTTTTAAAATACGTATTTTTCAGTTGAGTTTATCCTTACCAATCTAGGAGACCCTAGCTCTCAAATTCTTTGAGGAAGCGCATGGAAACTTTTGATTGCTTTAAAAGCAACTTTTCTCGAAGTATTGTTTCTTTGTGCAGCTTTTTTCTCGTTCTGAACAATTTACTCGAACACAAACTTTTTGCTCAACTTTTTGGACAAAGACAATGAAAATAGAACAGGAAATGTTAAACCCTACTTTTTGGATTTTCCGAGTTTTTTATTCTATTTTCTGCCTTTTCTTGGGTCTTTTTACGCGTATTTACACTCGGTGCCAGTAACGATCAAACGCGCAATCGCGACTTTTGAAACCTCAATCCCCGACGCTATGTCTGCAAGAGTTTCGATTGAACAATTTTATCTGAACAACTTTTAAACATTTTTCATTTTTTAAATCGTTTTTTCTTAATATCTTCAGCTGATACTAAACAGTTGTGCTTGTTGACCATACTATTAGCAAAGTACAGTTTATACATATGTACACAAGTCTGGGGCTCAAAAAATTCTATAATGAATCAATTCTGCAAGAAATTTCGATTTAAATTTATTTAGCCTTCTAGACAGTCTTACAGAAACGCATTATCGCAGTTTTCATCGTCATCGACAAAGCTTTCAAATTTTGTTAGATTCTGTTTTTCCAATGAAAACAATTTTGGAACAAATCTTTTTTGATAATGCAAAAGACACTTTCCGCGTATGAATTGTAGTTATTTCATTGCACTTTTGTCATGATTGTTTGCAAAAGCTGCGTTGAAGAAATCTGATACTTTCGACAATTTGTTGCATGGTTGTAACTGGAGCTTGTGCAGAGACAACCTCTAGTTGATTTTTTGCCTTTCTTGCACTTTTTAAAAACTATAGGACACGTTTTTGTGCAACCAAATCGATTTTTTCACTCGAAGTAGTTTTCAGCTACCTTAAACAGATTCAGTTTTTTCTTGTTTCTTTAGACGGATACAATTCTTTTTAAGATAAGTTTTTGCTGCCTTTTTGCCCATATTAAAAAAGGTTTTGTGGAGCCAAATAATTTTTGCGCGTGTTTGCGCAATGTCAAAAATCATCTTGATTTTCTCAAACTCGAACAAGGAATCACATGGAAACTCTTGATTGCTTGAAAGCAACTCTACTAAAAGTATGATTTCTTTGTGCAACTTTTTGCTGAACAATACACCCGGACTCAAGGTTTTTGCTCAATTTCTTGGGCAAAGACAATGAAAAACTGAAAAGAAATTGTTTAGTGCCACTTTTTGGCTTTTCCGCATTTTTTTCTTCTGTTTTTATGCCTTTTCATGGACGTTTTTCCGCGTATTTAAACTCAGTGCAACTTACGATCAGGCGCGCGATCTCGACCCTTAAAACCTCAACATAGGTTGCAAACTTCAATCCCCGACGCTATATATGCAAGAGATTCGAATGAAGAAATTTATCTGAAAATAGTTTTCCACGCTTTTCTGAACAATTTTTTTTTAATATCTTCAGCTTATCCTAAACAGTTGGTTTTTTTGACCGTGCTTTCAATGAATTACACTTTTTTGCATATAAAAACATTTATGGGTCTCAAATAAGTTCTATAATGAATCATTTTTGCGACAAATTCAATTTAAATTTATTTAGCCTTCTAGACAGTTTTAGAGAAACGCATTATCGCAGTTTCCGTTGTTAATGACAAAACTTTGAAACTATTTAATAACTAGTTTTAGTTCAGTTATTTTTAAGAGAATACTTTATCCAGTTTTAAGCTTGTTTTAATCCGGTTTGGGTACCGTGCGTTTTCTTTTCCTAGTCATGCTGTTAGGTCGTGGTTTGTAAGGTTTAGTAAGCTTGCGTTGGTTAGTTTGGATTATTATATAATTCCTTTCCAACCAAGTTAAAGGAAAGTTTTAAATGTGTTAAAACTGGTTAAAGTTATTATCAGTGAAAGTTAAAAGTTAAATTCACTATTTTAAACAAATCTTTGTGGGCGAGCAATGCGAATTTGGATAGAATTTATGGGCGAGTGAAAATTTAAAACTACAAAGAAGCGTCTTTGAAAAGGTTAGTACTGCTTTAATTTTATAGGCAATTTTTATTAATTTACTACTTTGAAATTATTAATTTCACGGCTTTCTTTGGTGGATTGAAATTATCAATTTATTTTCATTTTAAGAATATTTATTGCATATGGGAAAAGAGTTCATTTATCAAATTAGTGCTGTTTTGGGGGTAAATTTTACTGCTTCATATATTGTAATTGGTTCATCTACCTTTTTGATTTTAGAAAAAAGTTTTCTGTTTTTTGTTTCGTTTTTCTCTTTTGTAGATGATTGATGATCGTACCTGTGAAGACTAAAGAAAAAGAGAAAACATTTATTAAGAATGGTTAGTTTTGTTTCGAATTTATTAGAATAATTTATTTAATTCGTACTTACCTTATTCGTCGGGGAAGAATCCATAAGGAAAAACGTCGTGGATTATTTCTGATGATGTTATTAGTTTAGCTAGTAAGCGAATGATGTATTTAGTTTGGAGAAGTGGCCAAAGCAATTCGAGTGTGGTCGGGTTATTTATTGGTTTTTTGACAAGTAGGTTGGGTTTAAGCAATTTTTGGTGAGGGGAAGTTTGCAGGGCT